GCAGGGAGGGCGCAGGGACAGCTCTGCAGCAGGGAGGCTGTTTGCAGCCTTGCAGAGCAGCGCACAGCAGCGATTCCTGATGGCCATGCTGCCTCCGTCACCGTCCTGGTCCCTGTCCCTATCCCACCTGCCCACCCCCCCCGCCTGTCTCTGGCAAGCCAGCAAGTGCCAGCCTGTCCCTGCGGGGAAGGAGAGTGCTCAGCCGTGTTGCAGGAGCGTGGCTGCCAGCGTCACGCAGATGAGAAGTGACAGCAAGGGACCCTTCTCAGGTACAGGTTCCCCGCAGTGCGGGACACAGAGACACTGTTCCCTTCTCTCCCCACCGCCTCCACCCCGGCAGTGGGAATGGCCCTGCAGGCGCTTAACCCCTTCCCCACCACGCAAACCCTGCCCTGCAAACCCTGCCATTCCCATCCCGCTATGCAAACACCGCCGTGCAACCCGAGCTCTGCACAACCTGCCGTGCAAACCTTGCTGTGCAAACCCCGCTGTGCAACCCCGGCCATCGGGCAGGAGCAGCACGGAGCAGCCAAGCAGCACATGTGCTGCTGCTGCTGCCTGCCTGGCACACACTGCAGGGAGCCTGAGGTTGGGAGCAGGACACCTGGGTCCAGCCCTGCTGCTACCCCTGGTCTCTCCTGTCACCCTCTCCTGGTCTATGGGGTCTGCAGGCAGTGCAGGGAGCCCAAGGGATCCACAGGCCCCTCTCCTCCCACGTCTCCAGAGCCGGCTGCCATCTCCAGGGAGTTGTCATGGGAACAGTGCGCCCGGTACCCCTCACCAAGGAGACAGGATGCCGCTGATGGTCCCAGGGCTGGAGCTGCCCAGCGCGCACCCACATCCCTCTCACTGGGGTCTGTGGCATCCCCATGGCACCTGGGCGGTGGAGGGGACAGCAAGGTGGGCCCAGGCGGTGCCACAGGGAGCAGGGAGCTGTGGCACAGCGGGGCCCGGGCAGCGCCACCGGTGCGGGCAGGACCCGCCGTCGAGGAGCGGGCACCGGCCGGGCATGGCCCCGGCGCTGCCGCATTGACTGCCCGCTCCCTGCTGGGCCAGTGCTGCCTCTGCTGCCCAGCCCATGTGCCGGGTGGTGGAGCCAGCAGTTTCTTCCCCCATCTCTTTGGGGGATTTAATAGTGTGGGTGCAGCAGGATGAGTACCCTGTGCTGGGTGCCCTCTGCACCTGGTAGCCACCAGCCAGGAGCTGGGGCACCCGGTGCAGAGGCAGTAGCAAGTCACAGTGGAGTGATCACCCCATCCCCACTGTGCCCGCCAGCCCCTCATTCCCATCCCTGCTGTGCCCTGACCCTGCATCTCTGTCCCCCCCAGATCTCTCAGTTCCCCGCTGTAGCCCCTGCTGCAGGGAGCGCCATGTCTGTTGCCATCCACTCCTCCCTGGTGATTAGTATTAATTTTTAATCATGACTGCTGACAGGGCTGCCAGCTTGGCTGCCAGCTGGGATGGCTGCCCAGCAGGAGAGAGGCCAGGGCAGCCCTGGCACTACTGTGTTCACCAGGCAGCTCCTGGCACCACTGCACCAGTGTGGGCTCTGGGGTCTCCCAGCTCACAGGCCCTCCACACCATGGGCAGGGCTGGGGATGGGGGGCATCGCGTGCCCAAAGGGAAGGTGCCCCCTGGCATCCTTCATCCCCTGACCTAGCTGCAGGCTTCCCTGCGCCCATAAAGCTGCTGGAGATAAATGGTTCCTATTACTTTTCTGATCAAATGCAATCCCAGCTATGGCTTTGCGTGAGTGGCAATAAACAGAGCCAGCATACAGCAGAGCATGCCACCCTCACTGCCAAGGTAACCTTGGCCCCCCAGCATGCCAGGGAACCAGAGCCCCCAAGGACAGATGGTCGTGGCCACCCACAGCCCCCAAGAGCATCACACCTACATGCACCCATGGACCCCCCACCCTGCACCCGTGGCCTTCCAATACCCAGTCCAAGAAAAACGGGAGACTTGGAGGGTGAACAGCTGGCAGCTGCCCTGTTGGCATTTGCCTGGGGGCATTTGTCTTGTGGACAGCCCCTCCTCATGCCCATACAGACAGGCCTTGCAGCCTTGCTGCCCAGGCACAGGGGCGAGGGGTCAGGCACAGCCCCCAGGGAGGCTGGGGGCCTTGGCACCCACCGAGGTGTGGGGAGCCTGTGCTGGGCATGGGGATGGGTTCAGGCTGCAGAGGGGCTGGCAGGCCCCCCCCCCTGCCACTGCTGGGGGCACAAACGAGGGACAATTACTGGTGCATAAATGAGGGGGGTCTCAGCACCTCCAACGCTGCTGCTGCTCCGTCTCGGTTGGCTTGGTACCGTGTGCCAAGGGGCACA